TGTGTGTGTGTGTGTGTGTGTGTGTGTGTTTGTGATTAAGTTTGTCATTCCATTACTCACTCTAACTCATTGAAGATGTCTGTTGTGAAATAATTACATGTACTTAATATAAGCACATAGACAAAAAATGTTCCCCATACAGTGAGTTACAATATCCAGAAAGGGTGGAAGTAGTCCATCTTCCTGAAAAGGAACATGGTATAGATGGGGGTTTGTTATATTTACATCATGATGATGATGATGATGATGATGATGATGATGATGATGATGATGATGATGATGATGATGATGATGATGATGATGATGATGATGATGATGATGATGATGATGGTGAGCATTAATGCGTAGAAAAGTTTCCTACCTGTGGGAATTTTAAAGCTGTTTAAAGGTTAATTTCCACATGTGGATATAATATGCGTAACTACTACTAATAATAATAGTAATAATAATTGCATTTATATTGTGCACACCCCCGCTCTGAACCATACTCTATGCACTTTGCAACTATCAGTATCCCAGCAGACCCACGGCTTAGAAACACTCTCGGTTTCTCGGATTATATCGTCTTGTACGCGCTAAAACACTCACAAACTTACAGTATTATCTTTTGGTGCTGTTTTTCCGTGCCCGAGTCTGCAATGTTCACACAATACTTGAGATGACTAAAGCGCAATTGGGAGGGCTCTAAGTCTTTTGTGTTGATCTTTTTTTCTCAGCCGTCTGTGGAGCAACTGTGGGAACCGCCATATACCAAGCAACGGCAAGGAGGAACTCAATGCGTTTTCTCGGATAGTTGGAGGTCAAGAAGCCAAAGCAAACTCTTGGGGGCAACAGGTACGAAATAAACTCATGTATTTCATATGCATACTGTTACCGCGCTCCATTGAAAGAACTCTTTCGTAAAGCGTAATGATCCTTTTCCGTATTATTCTTTCATTTAAATTATTTCATTGGCACGGTTGGTGGGGGGGGGGGGGGTCTTTTTTCTTCATTTTTTTTTACCCTCTTATTACGCTGTTATCAGCACTTGGAGAGTCTAAGCAGATGGGTAAAGGGGGAAAATCACGATAATGTAGGGTTGTATTTTTAGAGCATCCGAGCCAAAGGAATGAATGGAGAACCATTATCATCAATGTTTGTCGCAGATCTTGCACTTTATGATTCTGTTATCACATTTATGTGACATTTCTTTTTCTGCCTTTGTTAAGAATGTCCTTGCTGTCTTCTTCTCGTGCCCCTGCAAGAGCTCAGGAGAAGCTGACTTTTTTTTATCTTTATCAGATCTCACAATGCAATGAATGTTGACGCTCACGGCCTTTTTATCCTCACAGGACGTAGAATCATTTATTGCCAGATAGGTAGTTATGTTCCATTTTCGAAAGTGCTCTCAAGGTTTATATTGATTTGAGTTGCTCCAGTCTCGGGTAGAAACTGATTTTGAATTTTGCCGCCAAGGGATCTTTAACGCCCGAAACTTCCACGTTTGGTATCGGAAATTGTTCGTCCTAATCCGGGAAGACTACGTTCTCGATCCTACCTACCCCAGGATTAGGAAGTGTAAAAAAAAAAAAAACATGAGAGAAAGAAACCCGACACTGGTGAAGATTGAACTCCAGATCTCTGAGTTGACCGGCAAACATCACACAGGTTGAGCTACTTATAAGGGAGCCCTCTTTATTCTTGTTGCTTTTTAAATCCCTAGACCGTATAGGGCATGTACGTTGGAAACCTGTCTGGTATCATTTTGTTCTAAAGGCCATTTCAATTGTGCAATAGAACGAAAACAGAGCAATACTTGCAGTTACTAACACGGGCGGGTTGCTCCCACTTTTGCACACATTGAAATTATCTCTGTCTGTCTGTCTGTCTGTCTGTCTGTCTGTCTGTCTGTCTGTCTGTCTGTCTGTCTGTCTGTCTGTCTGTCTGTCTGTCTGTCTGTCTCTCTCTCCCTCTCTCTCTTTCTTTCTTTCTCTCTCTCTCTCTATCTATCTATCTATCTATCTATCTATCTATCTATCTATCTATCTATCTATCTATCTATCTATCTATCTATGTCTCTCTCTCGCCCGTTCGTATCTTTTCACCGTCAAATAACGTCCTACTTCGCAGCCATGCGATGAGCAAAAATGTTCCATACTTGGGGCCACAGGAGCCGGTCGTTGCGAAAAGTGCTAAACGATTTAATCTAATGGCGTACCCATGCTAATCACTACGATAATGGACTAAATCAGAAGATACCGTATATTTGTGTTGATGATAAAACGTTATGCTGTATATTTGTGTTAATGATAACTGTATTCTTTCCCCAAACAGTGCAGTCTCATATTCTATGGTAGCCATCAATGCGGGGGAAGTTTGATCCGAAACGCCGCTGGTGTATGGTTCTTTGTTACCGCTGCCCATTGCACTGAGTAAGTTGGCCTCATCATCATCATCATCATCATCATCATCATCATCATCATCATCATCATCATCATCATCATCATCATCATCCTCATCATCATCGTCGTCGTCGTTGTCTTCGTAGATAGAGTACAGAAGGAAAGGAGAGTCTTAACTTATTTTCTGTCAGTAAATACAAACAAGGAAAACATCTTTTTTAATTACTGAAACAGCTCAACGTTTGGCCTCCAAGGTTTCTTCAGGGGAGACTGAGAATAAAACAAAGGGGAACGTTTCTCATATTGCAGGTGGAACATACTCATAAAAGAGGTATTTTCGTAAGTTACTGAGAGGGTCGCACGTCTCACGGCATGGGTCCGGTGAAGAGGGAAAATCTGAGAAATGGACAAATGAATGAATAGATCTGTAAAACTACAGGTTCATATTGACGGATTCTGCAACATACTCTAATTAATGCAGTGCATTCTCTGTGGCTGGGGGTTACAAAAAAATTGGAGAACCATCTCGTCACGTCATTGGGTGATAGAAAGAGGAATGGCTTTCAAGTGAAGATTTCCAATATCAAAGCATAACAGTGCAGAAAAAGAGAACCACAAAGATCTGGCTACAGCAATGCAACAATAAAAGTCTCAAAACATAAAGATAGTTACAGGAACTTTCAAAAAGAAGAAGGAAACATTAGGATAGAGGATGTCATGTTTGGACCATTTGGGATAGGTACCAAAAGGTAATGTGGAGAGCAGTGGTAGACCAAGTATATAATTATATTTTTAGGAAGTTTAACAAATGGGCGACGGGAGAAGAAAATACAAAATTATTTATGTTGTTTGAGAGCACTCCAGTAGATTCTCAGTGTCAAATCAAAACTTTTGTTTAACAAAAAAGGATTTCTAGCATACAAAAGGACAGAAGTAATTTTAAACAAGAACAGAGAGCGATTATGAAGTTTAATGCTGTAATTGTGGTCTGAAGCCATAGAGTCAGTTTAAGTAAGGCAAGTAAATAAGGGGTTAAAATTAACATTTAAATTTGTCGAAAACCGAGCACTGTATTTTGTGCCAGGGCTGTGGTTGCTTTGCTGTAAACACATATATGTCTAAAAACACACCATTGTGTTAGCGTGTGTCATTTTGGCGGTAGTTTTATGCCCCTATAAACACAGAAGCAAGACGGGGATGCTCGGCGCGGG